CTGGTCCTGCTGACCCAACCACCCTGGGATCTGCGATCCAGTTGCATAGATGCAGAGCTGTGTACTTTCCTCCCTCTGGCTGGTACCAGAGGCCTGCACATTCACCATCCTCTCCTGGTTCATCCCTGAGCCCATCTGGAAGCTCCCCCACTTTTCTTCCCTCCCACTCTGGGCTGAATTAGGGGCTCCTGACCTATCTCACCATGTCCCCTGAGTTTCTCTCCATCCATTGCCTTCACCACACACACTACCAGCACTAACATTTATCTCCTGCCCCATCACCTGCTAGTGTGGTACCTAGTGTGGGTCTGTCTACCTGCACAGGGCAGAGGCATTGCTGCCCTGACTGAGGGGAATATACGGCAGAATGTTAAAGCCCACCTTGCAGTCACCTCTACCTACCCTCTCTGTTGGGCACATACCAGATGCCACCTACAAAGGCACTATACCATGTGTGGCATGGAAAGGCAGAGCTGGATGCTTGGAGGAGGTAAGAGTCCCTGTGTGACATGGGGGACTTCCTGAGGAGGCATCTGGGAAGATCCTCCATATGTCAGCCCTGGGACTGCAGTTAAAGACAGGTCACTGGAAGTCCCCGAGCAGCCCTAAGGCCATCAGAGCAAACCATCAGAGTGGGACCAAAGGGGAGCTTCAGAGGCTCAGGAGAGGGTCACTGGAGGGGGGGGTGCCCCCCCTCCCAGGGCATTCAGGAAAGGCTTCCTAGAGGAGGGGCTACTTTCAGCTGGTTTGGGGCAGGAAAGAAGATAGCGATCAATCAGTTTGAAGGAACAGTGAGAGACAGAGCTATGGAAAAGAAAGTTCTGTTCCTCTGCCCCAAAAGGACAGAGAAGTAGGAGGCAGGTGGGTAGGAGGAGTGAAGAACGATGATCCCCTCGGCGTTGACACCACGGCCAGGGTGGGTCTGATGGCTGGGGCTGGCAGGGAGCAGGTCCCCAACCGTGGCTGGGAAACATTTCCTGTCTCCTTGCCAGGGGGGTCATTAATAATCGTTTACCCTCCACAGGCAGCATGGAGGCCAGCCAGGAGCCGCGCGGTGCTGGGGCCTGAGCCCAGCCTGGCGGCCAGAGAGTGTGTCCTGGAACCAGTCCTGCCACCTGGCTGCGAGGCCTGGACAAGTTGCTTGACCTCTCTTGGTCTCTGGGAATATTGGTGAAAAGAGGGTCTAAAGCAGACTCTCCCCTAAATCCCTTCCCTATCCTGGGCCTCAGTTCCCCTGGAGCGTAGCTGGACTGCCAACCTCCCAGAGGGTATGGACAATTGATGACCGATATGAGCATCTGGGCTATGCTGGCCCAGCTGAGAACACATGAGAGAAGAGTCCAGTCCAGTCTCTGAGGAGCTAGCATTTGGCAGGAGCCAGACCCCACCAGCACAGGCTGCATACCTGGAGCTTCACAAGCCAGGGCACAGCAGGTTGAGGGAATACAGAAGGGAAGGCCGTCTGCCCAGGCTCTAGGGGGCCAGCAGTGTGTCTGGGCCGGGAAAGCACAAAAGGTAGAGGCCCCTTGAGGCCTGTTTGGTCACTGCCATACACTTCAAACTGTGGCTGCCTGGTGGATGGCAGGTGCTTGCTAAATGCGCTTTGACTATTGAATTAGTTAATCGGTTTAATGAGACATTGGTGAAAGGAGCTTGGAATTTGCAAGAGCCGACTAAAGGATGACGATGATGACGAAGATGATGGTGACACTGAGTCTAGTCAAAGACAGTGGGGTAGGAAGTGTAAGCATGCTAGAGGCCCAGATGGCCATCCGAAGCCAGACATATTGCTGGGGAAGGCTCAGCTACCTTTAAGATCCCTTTTTTCAACTGGCCAGAATCTTCCTCAGCTGTAGGCCATCTTCCTCTGCCTACCCAATGCCCCCTTCGGGGCCCAGTTGAAATCCACTCACCTCAGGAACCCTTCTGGTATGTGACATTGAGGTAACAGTTTCCCTGACTGACCTGATAGTCTCCATGCTTCCAGCACTAAGGCATTCTGGCCTGCCACACTCTTGTTACCTAATGGGAGGCTGCCCTCTAAGGGGGTCCCAAAATTTTCTCTAGAGAGTCCCTCAAGTGTGAGAAGGCTTTGTTTTTCAAGAAAGGGTCTCTCTCAGTCACTTTCCATCAGATATGGGGTCAACAAAAGTGGAGGTGGGTTGAGGTGTCACTGGCTGGTTGGCTCCCAGCCCTGGGGCCACACAGAAGGAACGGGGACAGGCCTGCATGCACAAGGGGCTGTGTGGCTGCTTGACATCCCTCAGATGATCTGAGTCAGGAAGGGCGCTGGATCACACATGGGACTAAAACTTCATGGTTGGCCCACTTCAAGGAGGCTCCCCAGGGACACCACCCAGCCCTCACTGACTACTTCTGGACCTCACTCCTCTGCTGAGCGCTGTGAGGGGATAATAAACACAGTGACCCATGGACACATGCACCCTCCTCCCGCCCCCTCCGAGCACCAGCCCCCAAACATGAGACCAGAGAAGAAGAAAAGAACAAAGGTTCTTGGGCTGCTACATCACCCGCCTGCCTGCCCAGCGCCTGCTGAGCCGGAAACCCAAGACAAAGGCCTTGGTCAAAGCAAGGGGGATGAAGGGCAAAGGGTAGAGGCAGCCTGGCTTGGGGGGGGGCGTACAAGAACGTCACTGGACATCTCCAGGGACCTAATGGGGAGGGAAACAAGGACATGACGGCAGCCAAGCTCATCTGTCACTCCACAAACATTTATGGGACACCTGCTATATTCTGCACCCCTCAAACATAACATAGCTTATTCCTGACCCCCATATACCTCATGTGCACCCTCTCTTAGCCCCCAAAGCACCTTCCCCAGGCTTCTACACAGCCTCATCCCACATGCGCACCCCTAACTCACCAGACACCCCCCGCACACTCCTCACCACATACATAAACAACTGACAGGGAGAAAGGATCACATAATCTACATGTCACACTGAAAAGTCACACAGCTCACACACCCACACTTCACACTAAACTCACAGTGGGCCTCCCAGCAGGCACCTCACACACCCCACCCCACACTCACAGTCCCAGCCACAGGCACACACATCCAGTTACATTCAACACACACCACCCCGACACAGGCACACGCAGACACACCCTGCACAGATAATATGCACACTGAATGTCACACCAAAATGTCACATGTTTGTGGGCATACACAGTCCCTGAGCATAGACAAGCCTGTCTGCACACCGCCTCCTACACACACACACACACACAGGGCACTCAAATACCAACACACAGGTTCTAAAATATTTCCCAGGCAAGCCCAGGATGTACTTGAAGTCAGTCACCTGGCTGTAAACATTCGGATACAAACAGCTCACCTTTTCCCCTCTCCAAGATGTCCAAAACCTGTCATCAGGCCCCTACATAGCTTTTCCTACTAACACAACAGCCAGTAATGTATACAACCACACACACAACCCCCCATACAGGCTGCAACTCCAGGATGACTGACACACAACCACATGCACACACAACCATCACACATACAGCTGCCACTCCACACCCACACCACAGCTTCCCTAGCCCCACACAGGATGCAACGCCATACACACAATCCTCACCATAAGCCCCCACTCATCTCCCCCAAATAACCCCACGCGTGATGACACATACAACACTACATGACCGCACATATGGCCACACACAAGGCACACGCAACGCATGCAAGCCAGCCCATCCTACACAAGCACATGCAGCCCAGACTCACTCCGCCCTGGACACCTCCACCACAGGTAACGGACAGGATTGCAGTTACTCTTCCCCTCCATCCCAAGCCCCAACTGCCTCCAGTCAAGGCCAGGACAGCAGGGACAGAGTGGGGGTTATAAATTATGAGCCCCAGAATCCCACTGTGCCAGATTCCCACCCACCCTCCATCCCTGGGCACCGCCCAAGGATTGCAAACTCCATGTTTAGTCCCTTCCACCACCGCCCACACTGTGCCATGCCTGACAACATGGGGAGGGCGAAGGTCCCAGAACACTGGCCTGGCACCAGTGTAACCTTCTTCACCCCAAAGCAGAGGTAGTTATAAAGGGAAAGGATGACCCCAGGGAAGTCGCTAGAATAAAGACAGAAACCTAGAGGAATTGAGGGAGTAAGAAAAAGGTGGAAAGAAGTGGGCATATGGACAGTGGAGACCAGACAAGAGGAATGGGCAGAGAGAGAAGAAGCCCAGGAAGACTCAGAGAAACCAGAGATTAAAGTGGGACCACCACACCCAGAGAGAAACAACTGGAGAGGGTAAAACCAACCAGAAAAGATTAGGGGACTTCTATTCAGGAGGAAGGGAGAGAAGGAAGGAACAGGGTGGGAGGGGTCCTGCCACCTATGAGGGAACCCATGATGGAACCAGGCTTTTGGACTTGGGGTACAGTCTCAGGTGAGAACTACAATCCAGATGTTTCCATGGGAATCTGAGTCGGGGTACAGTTGATGCTGTGGAATAGAGGTTCAGGAGCTTAGGGTAAGGCCCCTGATCTGAGGTGCAGTCCTGATTGATGGAGGGTTGGGGGGGAGCTGAGATGTTCTGCATGTGCCTGGCCTCAGCTCTATAGAGAGATTGCTGAGGTTCAGGAGGTTGGGCAGGGGTCTTTCATTGATCTGGGAGGCATTGGCTCCAGGCTTGAAGCGAACAGTTGATGAGGAGTGGGGTCCCAATGTGGGTTGGGAGTTCAGTATTGGAGGTGCAGTCCTGGATCCATCCGACAGGGGTTTGGAGTCAGGGGTGAGGTCTGGACTGTGCCTTGGGCATTTAAGGGCATTTAAGGGCTCGAGTCAGGGCGGCAGTCCGAGCACAGTAGTGGGATTAAGAACTGGGGAAGGTGTCCCCACCCTGAGGATGGTTCAGAGGCAGGAGGGCTCTTGGAGCCCGCGTCTGAACGCTCCGTGGAGGACCCAGCCGGGTGCTTGCCTGACACCCGGTTCTCCTCGTGCCCAGTTCGGGGGGGCCCCCCTACCTGCAGGTTGTCGGCGCATGGCTGCGGCGGCGGCGGCGGCGGCTCGTCCGGCTTGAGGAAGACCTGCTGGCCCCGCCTGAGGAATTGGACAACAGCGATGAGGATGTGGTGCAGCACCAGGACCATGCTCGCAGCCGCCCGCCCGCCGGCCCGGCCGCTGCGCTCGGTCAGCGCGTCCGCGACAGCTCTCCGGGCCCGCGCGAGTGTCCGCCCCGGCCCCGCCCACCTCCCGCACCACCGACTGCACCTCTCAGCCCGTCGGATCTTCGGACCCCCGCCAGATCGCCCACCACCACCACCCCAGCAGCTCTCACCTCCCTATCCGCTCTCAGCTTCAGCCAGCAGTCCGCTTTTGGGGTCCCCGGCCAGGCAGCCCGCTCTCAGCCTACGCTCCCTTTTGCCCCTTCATCACTCCCCTCACTGCCTCGCAGGGGACGCCACTGAGATCCCCTCGCGTGTCTAGTCACAGTCTTCACCCTCCACCACTTAAAAATCCTGGGGCCAGGACAGAGACCCAGAGCAGGAACCAGCGCAATGGAGGGCGGAGGGAGGGGGGGATCAACAGGGGCAAAGAGGCTACCCAAACAATACGTGGACCCCCGAACTTAATACTCCAAGAAAAGGGGGGCGGGGCAATAGGGGGAAATCGGGGGAAATTTTAGGGGTTGCTCCAACACTGAAAGCCTTGGGAAATGTAGCAAATCTGCGAGGGAGACACGTGCGCACAAACACACACGCTCACACACAGAGGGACGCACCAGGCTTGAGTGGGGGTAGGAACCCTGGCCTCCAGCCCCAGGCACGCAGTTCTGTGTTGCATCCCCAGGGGCCGGAGAGAGCCCCACAGACCAGTTTCAGGAAGGGACCCGCGCTCACCGAGCGCATTTCTCCGCAGAGCTTAGGTTCCTGCGGCAGCCGTGACGCACCTGCGCCCCCTGCTGTCCCAACACATCCGTGCAGTTCGGCCCTAGTTGCTGTCCGCCTGGCTGGGAGGGATGGGAGTGAGAGGGTGTCATTGAGAAAAGCTCCCAGCCAGGACAGACACATTTCTAGCTTGGCCTTGGCATGAGGCCCGCCGTGTCTGAACTGGAGGATACGCTGGGATCTTGCCTGGTCTTTGCCAGCGATTTGCTCCTTGACCTTGGTGGGTTCCTCTTCCCCGTTTCTGGACCTCAGTTTCCTCTTTCCTTCACAGAACTGTCAGGGGAACCAAACCCTGTTATGGTAGAAAGACAGCCAGTCTCCCCTGAGATCCTTTGCTGTGGTCTGGCCTGAATCCTTCGGACCACACTGTGGGCCCTTCTCTCTGCCCACCTCACAACCTCTTGGAGGGTGACTCAGTGAACCCCCAGCCTCCTCACCTCCCCATCTCATGGGGCTGATTCATCCCAGCCCTTTCTTCCTGGGGACTGATTTCCTCAACATTGAATCACTGAACCCAGTCCTGGACACAGTCCAGGCACCTGGTATATAGGCTGGGCAGGGCTTGGCTTTGCCACCAACTTGGAGGCCCTCCATGCCAGGATTTCTCCCCCCACAGCTCTAGACAGGTTTCTTTCTCTGCTCACACACTACTGGTGACTCCCTACTACGAGCACGACAAAGTCCAAACCCTCAGCCTGACATGCCAGGCTCTCTATGACTTAACCCCACTAGTTTTGCCAGCTTTGACCTCCTTGCTGCTATTCCTTCAATTCATACTCCCTGCTTTACCCGGGAAACAGGGACGGAGAGACTGACTCATCCTCACCTCCAGGCCTTTACCCACACCACCCCACCCCCTTTGCCTTCCTGCTCCTACCAGCCTGTTATCATTCAGAGGGCACTCAAACCGCCCCCCCCCCAGGAGTCCTTCCCTAAAGGCTGGCTTGTCCTCTGGGTTCCCCTTCTATCTCTTCTGGGTTCAGGGAGGGGTTGAAAGCTTGTCTGTCATAGGTGATCCTGGCCAAATCAATGTATTTTACTGCATTTTCAGAGTAGAGGCAATTTGTCCTACTTATTAATACTGTAGAAAACCTTGTAGGGGCTGAGACAGGAGAAGGTTCTTAGTTTCTTGCTCTGTAAAAGGGAGTGACCAAGGTAAGGGTTATTGTAAGAAGTCTGAGCCCAGAGCACAAGGCTCTGGGTAAATTCTGAGCCCTTGGAAGCAGCTCAGTCTGTCTCTGGACAGCCTGGGAGAGGTTTGGGGCAGGGACACAGACACCCAGGGGCTCTGTTACAGCAACAGAGCAGAGCTAGTCATTCTTTAGGGGCGGCTATCTCAGACCCTCAGTAAAGAGCCCTTTCCGCCTGGCACAGCTACCATCTCTTGGGCTCCCAACTCCAGGCAGGCACTCCCCTGAAAGCACTCAACACTCAAAAGTTATTTCTTTTTTTTTTTTTTTTAAGATTTTTTTATTTGTGCATACAGACTGGGGTACAGGCCAGAGGTGCAGGGGTGGTACAGCAGCCCAACGGTTATGTTTTATTTCAATCTTGCCCAATTTTTTCTATTTTATATAAAAATAATGAATAATCAAAGAAAACCTCAAAACTTTTTTTTTT